CCCTAAGGCTAACCTCACAGGTACCTACCTGACCCTAAAACTAACCTAAACTCAAACACACCTTGGTCCTAAACCCAACCCCCAACCCGCCAATGGCATTTAAACCAAATGGGGACTCGACTTTTGTCCCCAAATGCACCAGTTGTCCCCAAAGGTAGGCATTTTGTCTTAAAATTGCCCCAAATGTCACCAGAAACAACCCCCCCCACACACATCTACACACACAAACACACAAACTCCAACCATCAGATAACTCTATCACAGTCATGCCATCCAAAACACAGATTCTTGATAGGCTATTTTGTTGAACCAAAAAGTGTGACTTTTTCCTCAGTCACACAACATCTTGCTCTGAACTTGTCCTGCGAGAGTTAATGGCATGCTTTCTAGAAACGACAGTGTGTCCCAAGATGCCCTGAAAAGTCTGGCGAGACATTAACAAGTGTAGTTAAATTCTACACATGCATGCATGAAGAGACTGAGCTCAAATTACTCTATATAGCTTAATTTGTACAGTACTTAATGAAAAATGTAACTTAAATAGGTTCAAACTATCAAATAATGCTTCAAAGGGGACGTATTATGCAAAATCAGCATTTTTGAGTCATTGTGATACATCATGTTATGTCATTCCCTAATCAAAAATATACCCAGAATGTTGTTTTGACTCATWCATGCATGTTTGAGAAATCCTTCAATCTCCTGTGGTAGCCATTTAGGACTGCCTAAATGCTTGCTGGTACAAAGCACCACATTTTTGTACATAGCACCTCCCTGGGGCTCAGTCTGTAGCCAAGTTCCCGCCCCACAAAGCACTCCTCCCCGAAGCATTGTTGTAAAGACGTGTTGTGTTGGAAATGATAGGAGGTTCTGAAAGAGACAGAGGCCAATTTCAAAGCATTTAGAAATATTATGATGCAAAGTAGTCATGTGCAGATCGATACTGAAATATCGATACTACCGATTCCAGAACTTTGTGTTCTAGAATTGATACTAAAATCAAAATATCGATACTATGATACTTTTATTATTTCACATAATGTATATCATTAACAGAAAAATAGTGGAAAATAACTAAACTATTCCAATCTTGTCTTAAACATGTGGTTGGAGGGAACTACTTTTTATTCCGCTTGGGTAATGCATAAGCAGAGTGGCACGTGCTCCATCAGTCACTCAGTCTGTACATGTATGGCAGGTCATTTTAACATAAAATCTTCCTCTTCTGACTGTCTGTAATTAAATTCTAGATGAGGGGTTCCCAAACTTTTTCATGCTATGGCCTCCCAAACAGCATTAGCTCTGGCCAGATACCTTCTTGCAAACACATAAACAATGCTACAAAATATAGAAAGTAACAACTTTTAAAATGTTCTTTCTCACTTTTATTCACTATTCAAAAATTATTATATTTCTTAAGGATAAGAATATTAAAATGTGCTAAACAAAGAAAAGGTTTGGGTTAGAAAAACGTTTAAACTAATAACTGACTTGCTATGTCATGTATTATTTATAAAGCAGTTATTTATAAAGCAGCTATTTAAAACGCTGTACTTTTTAAGATTTAACAGACACATTATGTGTTATCACAAAGTATCAGTATCGGATCAGTATWGCTGATACCAGCCAAATTTTACTTGGTATCAGTATCTGAAAGAAAACTGGCAGTATCATACATATATCGTATATATAACACTAGGAAAACATAATACTTGTAGTAGATGTGTAGATGTCAAAGGTGGAATATTATCTTTTACCCAAATATTATTTATGCGACTCTGGTAAATAAGAAAAGCCCTCTTCCACCTTTATGCCCCCAATTATGAAGACCGATTTTCAGACCCTGACCTTGAATTACATTTATCATGCAAGCTCAGCTTTCAAGTTTATCAAAATTAATGAAACCTCCGTAGAACATAGCCTTTGCATCCAACAGCCTCTACAAAGATTATATTAGACACATTACATCACTGAACATTATCATTCTAAGTAAAGTAAAGTTAGTGCCTCTGTAAAGTAATTTTTGTCAGGTTAAACCTTAAAAAGCTGTGCCATGTTAAGCTATTTTTTTGCCTTTTGAAGATCTAGAAGTATTTGGAAATTGGCCAGTATTTACTTTAGACACACATATGATAACCCAGTGGAGCAATGACTGAGAGCTATTTTGTTTTAATGGTTAGCCATATGTGTTCATTGTGGATGAGTTACATATAATACCAACTAACTAACTAACTAACTAACTAACTAACTAACTAACTAACTAACTAACTAACTAACTAACTAACTAACTAACTAACTAACTAACTAAC